CAGGCTCCAGCCCCAAAATCTCCAGGTGTTTCCCAACCCACAGCTGGGAACCCTATTCATCTCCCACTTTGGTGATGGCGCTCGGCTTTGGGGAGCCTCTGTGATGAACATATAAGATCAGTTTTGTCACCGGATTGGGAATGGTTCCAACTCAGATGGTTTTCTTTGGAGAAGAGCCTTTAAGGACGGGGGAATTGTGGAGGGTTCAGTGCCAACTCCAACAGTTAACAGGAGGAATGAGCGCTGAGTCTGCTGCTGCTGCTGTCTCCAGTTCAGTTAGGGGGTCTCAGAAGTGCAGTCCAAAGGAAAGAATTATGAGTGTAATGTAGGCTTCTTTGTTTGTTATACTTCAAAAAGCTTGCAAAATAAAAACAAAAAAACAGAACAACATGCCTAGTTCAGAAGGCAGCTGATTTTTCTCCCCTCTCCCCCCCCGTAATAAACAGTTCTTCCTTTGTAATAAACAGTTCTTTCTTGGGCTCGCTTAGGGACTGATATTTTCCGCATCAAAAGAACTAAGGACAGTTTCAAATAAATACTGTTTCTCATGAATTTAGAACACACTTGTGGCAGGCAGAAGGGCATAACTCTGTTTCGGGTTGTCTTGTTGGATAATCGAAGTCTGTCAGGGTCCACAGGGTTAGAAGGGTGTGACTGTGTGCAGGAATGTACTGAAAATGATTTGGCAGACGCTCCAGCCAGTAACCTGCATGCCATTGTTCAAGCCGTATGAACAGAATATGAAGAGCCACAGATTTGTATTATGAAATGATTCTGACAAGTGTATAACCAAGGGCATGGTCTAACCCTGATGGAAGGAAAAATGTCCAGCCAGCTATGGCACGTAACATTTCCCTGCTGAAACTTTCCCTATGAAACAGAGGGATCTTTTGAAGTTCCTCCAAGACTAGGGTTGCTAACTTGTGGGTGGTGGCTAGAGGTCTCATGGGACTACAACCAACCTCCTGGTGATGGAGATCAGTTTACCTGGAGCAAATGGCTGCTTTGGAAGGTGGACTCTGGCCCTGGTTACACGGAAGGTTTTGGCTCGGGAGAGGGATGGATCGGGGGTGCAGCAAACGGGTGCGATCTCACCGCAACATCTGGGAAACGGCGTGCACCTGTCCCCGATCCGGCCCTTCAGGCCGAAAACCCACAGTAAAAAAGAACCACCCCCAGAGGAGGACTTACCGGGAACGCCGCATCAAGTGTGGCCGTGGGATCGCCGCCGCGCCCGTCGTCCGGAGCAATCCAGGCTCCCGACCGAACTGCGCATGCGCACACATACGCAGTTCAGCTGCCTCGCTCCCCTTTCAGTGGCTTCCCCCCAGCATCTGATCGTGCCGGGGAGGAAGTGCGCGGCGGCTCAGGGGATCTATGTGATCCCGCCGCCGCGTGTCTCTTTTGGTGCAGCTTTAAAAAGCCTCACTTTGCTGCCCCCCCCCATGTGGCAGGGGCCTCTGTAGCCTTATATCTTGTTGAAGTCCATCCCCTCCGCAAAACTCGCCCTCCTCAGACTCCACCCCCAAAGTCTTCAGGTATTTCTCAACCTGGAGCTGGCAACTCTATCCAGGGTTCCAACCTGCTAAGGCCCTCA